ACATTGTGCTTGTTTTTTGCTACTTTGGTTCATCTCCCGTTATAGCTGTGGCCTGTATAATTTGTTTGCAGCCTTTGCCTTCCTGTGCTTATTAAGGTGTGTTGAACTCAATTCCCTTTTTTTTCTTGTGCCCTGCTGTGCCTTAAAATGTTGTGAAGATAAATGTGGCAGACACTATAAAATGTGTTTGATTAAATAGAAATGAATGATTATAGCATGCCAGATAGTTTATGTAATGCCAGCTGCTTGAGTGTTGTTTAGGCTTTTATATGCCATGTACTCCAGTCTTAGCCTGTGTTGTTCATCAGTAGCCACATGTTGTGATGAATGCTAGGTTAGAAGACTGTTTCAAAAAAATCAGACAACTTAGTGGATCTGCTTGTCAGATTCTGAGTACATACAAATGAAATACGATGGTTCCTGCATCGCCCTAGGGAGGAGCGTCTGGCTAGCATTAGAGGCAGTATTACAGACCACTTGGACTTGTGACTAACCAACCAATCAGTTGTGCACTTTCATTTTTTGGCTTGCACCCCTTTTATGCACACATTAGACCCAGTCTTAAAAGGAATGGGAAATCTGTAATTTAGAGATCTTTTTCCTTTATTATATATGCTTCTGATTTATATTTTGCCTTTCAAGGAGATCTACTTTGCCCTCAATAAATCAAACAAATTGATGGCATAACATTTTTAAAAAGCCAGTTATTTTTCTGAACAGATCTCAAGAAAACACAAGCACCCAGCTTGTTTGTGCTCAAGAGCCACATATTTTGTTACTGCTTCTAGAAAGTTTGGAAACACTAATGTGGTGAAGGTGCTTTAAATGTTTGCTATCTTTTAAATTATATTCTGCTTTCAGATGCAAGTTTAAATTGTCTTTTGGTGGTTCCTGTACTGTTTTCTAGATCTTATTGGCTTTGCTCACTCTTCTGCCTTTTCTGCAAAGTCCTGTAGAGCAATCTTTAGCAGTTTGGCCGCTTGACCCTCAGATGCTATCCTACCTGTGCTTTCTGAATGCATTCCATCTCTTCACTCTTTTTCCTCACAAACATGATTGTGACAATACATCAGATTATTCCTGTTAGAATTTCAGCTCTTCAAACTGAACTCTGCTTGATTCCTGAGCTTGAAACCATTAATTCCCTAGACACCTTTTAGAAACTAGAGATGAGTCTCGCTTGACCCTCAGATGCTATCCTACCTGTGCTTTCTGAATGCATTCCATCTCTTCACTCTTTTTCCTCACAAACATGATTGTGACAATACATCAGATTATTCCTGTTAGAATTTCAGCTCTTCAAACTGAACTCTGCTTGATTCCTGAGCTTGAAACCATTAATTCCCTAGACACCTTTTAGAAACTAGAGATGAGACTTTTCAAAAAAAAAAAGAAGAAGGGGATTGATTTAAATCATTATTTACATTTTAAGAATCTGATTTTTTGAAGATTTATATCAAAAATAATGTAAAATTTTTTTAATTGATTTTTTGAAGATTTATATCAAAAATAAGGTAAATTTTTTAAAATTTGTGATGAAAATCAATTTGATATTTAAAAATTATTGATATTTATCTACCTCCATATTGTTCTTGCACTGCTTCTTTGTCTCTTCTGTAGAGTGCCCAGCTGCACCTTTGCAGTCTTGAGGATTCCCTGAGACAGGCGAAGGTGCATGAGGGAATGAGTTCCCATTATATCTCATGCTGTTTGACAGCTCCTGGTCCCATAATTCGGCCTGGAGGGTTCCCGCCAAATTATGGGGCTGGGAGATCATTTTTTCAAAAGTTCTATCCCTTTCAGAAACTTAATGTTTCTCTTAGTTTGTCTTGATTTGTGTTTTGCTATATGATGACTATAAACCTTTTCCTTCCCCTCTAGCTCCATTTCTCTTCTTACATTTATTAGTAGTTTAATTTTCTAACATGCTACAACAAGTGTACTTTCTGCTACACAGTGAGGTTATGTTAGGAGCAGCCACAACATTTAAACAGCTGTTCAGACATAGCCTGTCTAATTATAACTGATAATTGTCTCTTCTCTGAAACCGCAGAAGACACTGTTACGTTTGTAGAATCAAATTGTTTGTGCTGATGTTATCAGCAGCCTGCTGGAGACTTATCCACTGCTGCCCCAAACTGCAGTTTTATTCTGGGAAAGAAGCACTGAAGAAGCACATTTTCTCTATAGTGGTTGATAGCATCCTTGTTGACAGCTTGTTGAGTTCAACTGATTCTATTGGTTAGTTTTGGCCCATTAACTGTTCTTTGCCTTCCTGTTCATAATTTTAGCATCTGCTCTTTTTTTTTGTTTGTTTTTTTTGGCATTTTGGCAGATGCAAATAAAATCTTTGGCTCCAAATGCATTAAAAGGTTTGTTAATCCATCAACAACAACACCCCTTTGTAGTTAAAAAGCTTCCAAGGAGTGACTTTTTCAGCCCTTTCTAGTGTCAGGAGATTGGATATAGACTTGTTGCATTGCCAGCTATACTATAATGACTTTTGGGGAAATTTAATTCAGTCATTTCTTTTTGATAGAGGTTAGCTCTATGTTTTAGTCTTGGTAAAATATTAGTACAGAACAGGAGAGGATGGAACATAAATATGAAATAGTGTAACGAATATCTAATAGGTTAGAGGGGAGACTTTGAAAACATAAGCTGTGTTCCAGTACTATTGAAATAGGTGACCAGAACACCTGCAGAAGGCAATGTTCCTTAAGGTCTCCTATTGTGATACTGTGTTTTTCCAGACCAAATGGCTTGGCAATCCTCCATGGATAGAAGTGGCTCTTGTCTTCAGAAGGACTACTAAATTAAAGGCTAGGAAACCAGTGGCAATCCAGAAGAAACCAGAAAGGAAGATTTATTTGCTAGAAGGCCTATTTAAAATAAGTTTCTCGGTGTTTTTTTCACTTGTATTCACAAGCTTTTTCATGTTTCCATAGCAAAATCAAAACACAGGGTACTGCCCAAACTATCCCTCTCAATGGGGGAAAATTGACTGTCTGGAAGTTACTGAGCTGTGTCTCCCATCATCTCTTAACAACTGGCTGTGCTAGGTAGTCCTGTGGGAGGCACAATTCAGCAACATCCTTGGGATGACAACTCCTCTCTAGATACTGTATTAAAACTCAGCAGAATCATGATCTTCTCATTTCTATACAGTACTACATTTTAGTAGATCTGAAGTAAAAATCTGGTTACTTCATGCCAGTAGACTTGGCCCCATGCTGGTCTCCTGTACTTGGTTCTCCCCTCCCCTCCCCAATACTTTTGATACCAAAACAAGATTTTAATTGAAGTGGGTCAAAAATAGTGAAAGCTTTGTACACTATCTGGTAATCCTGTGTGCACTGTCTTTGAACTCTGTAGAAATTAATGGAACATACATCTGTATATGGCTGTCGTATAAAAGAATTTTGGGAGAGGTGTTGACAGTTCACATGACAAGGCAGCTGTATATAGCAAACTGGGTAAACAATTCATTTTATATTGTGGCATATTTTCATGTGACCTACTGCCCAACAACCTACAGTGACATGGTAGCTTAACAACAATGAAGTTCTATGTTGTTGTTTAGTCGTGAAGTCGTGTCTGACTCTTCGTGCCCCCATGGACCAGAGCACACCAGACAATCCAGTCTTCCACTGCCTCCCGGAGTTTGGTCAGATTCGTGTTCGTAGCTTCGACGACACTGTTCAACCATCTTGTCCTCTGTCGTCCCCTTCTCCTCTCTCTTAAGGCCAGTTTACTCCACCTGCACCTCAGTTTGTCTGCAATAATATGTTATCTTTAAATTGAGTGTTGCTTGCTGATCACATTGGAAAAAATAGATGACCTCTTCAGCCAGTCCGAGAAAATATATCTATTCTCGATTGTTTAACACATTGGAAAACAAAGTCATCTATAATTGCATTTCCTGCTGAAGGTCAGAAGGAACCTGACTCCATAATCACTCAGTATCCACCCCTCTTTCACTTGAAAATTGGTTAGCATATTGTGCTTGTAGAATTTAGAAGTTATTTCTATTGCTAGCTGGTTGAAGTACTTCATCAAAAGGTTCTTTCAAAACCTCTTTCAGTTTAAGAGTACTGTATCCACAGAAAAGGGAACTGACATTACCTATTGGGTGTAATTTTACTTGGCTTATAAATAGGTTTTTACCTGATTGAGTTCTCTTGGTGACTATGCAGGGCAGATCTTGTGAAAATTGAAAATGGTCACCCCTGGTTTTCTTCAGTTGTTGATACTCATAAGTAAATGGGCCAGTGACTAGTGAATGTATTTGCATAGCTGCTTTATGTAGCCAGTTATCTGCTTGCTCATCTGCATGTTGTAGGATAATTTCGGTATTGCTGTAGTAAGTGTATTGCTCATCTGCATGTTGTAGGATAATTTCAGTATTACTGTAGTAAGTGTGGTGTCTGCCCAGGTCATGAATATTAATATGCTATCTTCATGGACCAGTGAGAGCGCTGGAGACGTGGAGTCATGAGATATAAGGTTTCTACAGGAGGAGAAAGAGAGGAGATTGAGAGTTTTAGATTGGAGGATTGGTGGTTTTGGAGTTTGGGGTGGAGAGGGAGAGTTGCCGGTTGAAAGTGGATCAAGTAGGAAGTTTTGTTAAGAGCTAACGACACTGATGGTTGTTGTGGGTTTTTGGGCTCTTTGGCCGTGTTCTGAAGGTTGTTCTTCCTGACGTTTCGCCAGTCTCTGTGGTCGACATCTTCAGAGGAACAGGAGTAGGTACTCTGTCCATGCTCTGTACTCCTGTTCCTGTGAAGATGCCAGCCACAGAGACTGGCGAAACAGCAGGAAGAACAACCTTCAGAACACAGCCAAAGAAACCGAAAAACCCACAACAACCATCAGATCCCGGCCGTGAAAGCCTTCAAGAATACAGTTAACAACACTGATTGTACCTTCATCACCTGTAATAATAAGCAACTTCTATTTGGTTCTTTTCAAAATGACACATTGCCTGGATCTCTATTATTAATAATACATAATGTTGAAGTAATCAACTGGTGGCAGCGAGACGACATGTAGCTTGTGATCTCTGCTTGGTGAAACAACCAAGGGACAGTTGGGAACATGACAGTAAGCAAACATTATTTGCCACATATGATTTAGTAATTATTTTGATATTTAAATTGGAAGTCATCTGGAGCATTTTGTCTTTTCCAATAGACTATAAGCACAGAGGATCCCAACCACTGCTGCATGAAACTACTGCTGTCTGATATAGAGGAGAAAATTGCCAGAAGTATTATGGTGGTGTAATATTTAATTTGCTCTATTATTGTGTAATTTCAGCGTGGGTGCTCTGGTTCTTAACTTATATTTCTCAAATTTCCAGTATGACAGGGTAAAGATGATCACTTATCTGATATTTAGTCGCCACTAGTGGTCTCCCAGCCCAGAATGTTTTGCCTTGTGTCTGCATTTATCTGCTTTAGTGTTTTCTTAAAAAAACAAAAAGATAAAACTCCATTCTAAGACACATCCTAAATATGTTGTACGTTCTGGAACTATTAATTTGTGAGTTAAAGCTTTGTGTTTCTTATAAGAAAGAAACAAAGATTAAAAAGTCATTTTAGACTATACATAGTCAAAGGTAATTTAAAATGAAGCACAAAAACAGAACTCAAAGCACCACAATATTAATCATACTCATTTTAAAACTATGCAGTCCAGACTGCAGGAATTATTTCAGCGAACTGGTTGACAGAAAGATCCTCATCTGTGTCGAGAAGACCACAGGGATGGTTCATGATATAAAACTGAGTCAGCCTTGTATACAGTATATTGCAAATGGGAAGTTACCAGAAAGTATGGTTAATTTTGCCCAGTTGAGCTGCTAAAGACACTTTTAGCCTCTTACGACAGTGGTGAATCAGTTAGGAACACAGATTGGAAATCTGTTCCTTTGCAGGGGTCTGGGAGTGAGAGGAATACAGTATTAGCTTCTAGATTTTAAGACTTCCACATTCATCAGCCTTGACAGCTAGTGGTGGGGAATTAGTAGTTCAAAAATATATGGGGAAATACAGTGCCTCTTCTTCCTCTAGGTGTGGCACAACTATTATGTAGAGCAGGCTGAATAACATTCACCTCAATGGATAAAGCAGCAGTATCTCCACCATGTTTGCAATTTTTTTAACAAAGCCTTTCCTGCCCTTGATCTGCACAGTTAGCTGAATAAGAGCCATATTTCCAGTAGTTTTGAATTAGCCCTGTAAATATTATTTCTTTTATCAAGTTTTAAATATGACAGACTGTTTAGATTTGCTGTGTTCTCTATTGTAAACAGTCCAATTCCCCTTTTAATCCTTGTGTAACTAGCATAACATACATCACTTCTCCTCACAGCTTGGATGATATCCATGTGAGACCTTCCTGCCATCTGGACCAACCTACCTGCATGACTGTGCTTGATCAACACTACTTACTCATCCAGAAAGTATCATCTCAGTTTTAATAAACCTGGTGTCTTGAACTGTTCTCATTCAGTTCCTGGTGGCCATGTGATTTGGCCATGTAATTTGTCTCTTTACATGTGTTTTTAAAGAAATCATCTGGATGTGTAAGACAGTTTAAGATTATCCAGAAAACAAGATCTGCCTGCATTGACACAGAAAGTCTAGAATCAGATCTGCTGTAGATAAACTGTCCTAGGGGAACTGCCATCTATCACTTCCTCATCTGCAGTACAGGGTTGTAAGTACAGTATTACTAATTCAACATGTAATATGATTACTGTAATGATTTAGGGTGTTCAGGAAACATCTTGAACACTCTAAAACACTATATCAGTCTTCCTATCAATGCTAAAGAGACCTTGAAAAAGTTAAAATTTTTGGACGATGACTTCGAGAATCCCACAAATTAACTATGCTGATGGTAGCATTCTGGAAGTCATATTCCAAAAATAAATAAACAAGAAAAAACTGTTGTTGCACTCTGATTCTAAGGCTTGAGTATGACTAAAGTTTGGTTCATCTTGTGGCCTTTATTTTTTACCTGAATTAACTTATCACTAGTGCATTACAACTTTTCTAGGAATAAATACACATTTCCAGTCTTATTTTTAATATGTACATATGTTTGGAGTTTCAGTGCTGAGCTGACTAAGGCATGTAATAATTTACCATGCAAGCTTCACAAAAGCCTATGCATTAAAGGACATGCAGCTGAACCAAGGGGGGTTTCAAGGGCACATTTGTGGACTGAGTAACTGTGAGACATAGTGTGAGTTAGTTATAGGTGAAAAGATTTGGGACCTTGACACCTTGCAGATTGTCTCTTCCTATGTTTTACCACTCGTGTCACCTTGTCCTCAGGCATGGCTGCTATGAGTGGCTACCTTGAGGGAGATTGGGAAACCCTCTACTAAGAATTGTGTCTTCTCAGTGGTTACCATAACTCTTTGGAAACTCCTTGTCTGTGGAGGGGTCTGCCAGAAAGCAGGTTAGGACAGAGCTCTTTAAAAAGGCGTTTAAGAACGTTCTTCCCCTGTAGTTGAAATTTTCCAATCCACAATGATATATTTTGTTATTTTTAATCAGCCGTCACCATGAAGATTTTTCTAGTTTTTAGCTATGTCGTTATTTTTGGTTGGGGTCAGGCGGTTGGGTTTATGCCCTTTTTTTTGTTGTGAACTGCCCAAAGTAGTGGATCTGCACTAGATGGGAGTGTGTGTGTGTATAAAAATCTGATAACCATCTAACTTTAAAAAAAAATAGCAGAAGAACAGAGTTTGAGCTAGAATGCCAGAAATGTTTCACATCTCTCAATCTTAATGCTGTTAACCATTTCAGTTCAACAGCTTGGATACCAAATTGCTGTTGTGCAAGTTCCTTCCTGCCCTTCCAGCTATGTTTCGTAGCCCAACAGCTTGGATACCAAATTGCTGTTGTGTGAGTTCCTGCCCTTCCAGCTATGTTTCGTAGCTAGTGGAAATGACATTAGTCTGTGTCGTTGGTAATATTTAAAATGCAAATGAGTTCAAAATCATCTGGATACACAAAAGTTTTCCTATTTGTTTCAGTCTTCGAATGGACCACTGCCTTCTTGGTTTTTAATCTTAGATGCTATCAATTTATTCTGTTGCAAGAGCACAGCAGTGTTTTGTTTTTATTTGCATCCCTTTCCTGACACTTTTTGTAGTCATTGTTTAAAATTAAACAGGCCTGAAATCCAGAGGTTAAGCAAGTCCAGTGTCCTGGGGTTTAATGGACTGGATGAAGGTGAATAAACTGAAGCTGAACCCAGACATGACATACATGCCCCTGATCAATTGAAAGGTTGATGAAGGAATAGGTATTCAACTGATGCTTAATGGTATTACATTCTCCGTAAATTCACAAGTTTGCAATTTAGGTGTGCACTTGAATTTGTCCCTGAACTTGAATGCTCAGGTCTTTGTGGTGGCCACGACTGCATTTGCATAGTTAAAACTAGTGCATCAGCTGTGTCCGTTCCTGGAGATTGTGACCCGACCACCACTACAAACACCTCATTTACATTGTACTCTAATGCTTTCTACAGGGGTCAGCCTTTGGAAAGTATTTGGAAACTTTAGAGCAGTGGTCCCCAACCTTGGGCCTCCAGAGTTGTTTGACTTAAACTCTCAGAAATCCTAGCCAGCAGAGGTGGTGGTGAAGGCTTCTGGGAGTTGTAGTCCAAGAACATCTGGATGCCCAAGGTTGGGGACCACTGCTTTAGAGGACCTAAAATGCTGCAGCCAGATTGTTTCTGGGATCTGGTTACAGGGATCACATACTCTCTGTTACGGCAGCTCTGCTAGCTTCTGATCAATTTCTGGGCACAATTCAAAGTGCTGCTTCTAACCTATAAAACCTAAAGAAGCTTGGGTCCAAACTATCTCACAGACCATAGCCCTCTTTATGAGCCTGCTCAGGTTTTAAAATAATCAGAAGATATCTTTCTCTCTGTCCCATTACCTTCACAGGTGCATTTGGTGGGTTCACAGGAAAGGACCTTCTCTGTTGCTTCTCCCAGACTTTGGAACTCCCTTCCACAGGAGTCCAGACTCGTCCCGTCTTTGCTGTCCTTCTGCAAGCAGGTGAATACTTTTCTCCCCAAGCAAACTTTCTCTTAATGAGTGGCTGCAAGAGTGGGGCTTTTTAATGGTTTGTTGTCACCTTGAACATATTTTTGGTGTTGCTGCTGTTTATTATCTTTCAGTTGTTTCTTCTTTTTGATTATTTTCATACTTACTATTTTTAGCTTTACATACTGTATTTTAATAATCTAAGTTGCCTTAGATCCTTCTTAAGGAGAAAGGCAGGTTAAAATATTTTAAATAAATAATTAAAAAGTTACCCTGCTTGGTCAGTTCACGTGTACATTTAGAGCCCTGTTTCAACACTGGCTTGTTAGAAAGCGTCTGGGCACTTGAAAGCAGATAAAGATGATGATGGCTTTCTCCTGCTCTTTCTCTTTGTGTTATGTGGCATTCAACAATATTCTCTCGATGTATAGGAATTCTACATTTAGGTGTCATACCTTATAGTTGTTTACATTAGCATTGAAGCTAGTGATCAGTGCTGTACTAAGATAACCAAGACTCCTTCACAAAGCTGTGGAGGTTTTTCTGGAAGGACTGTAGCTCAGGGGTAGTGCCCAATGTTTTGCAGGTAAATCTCTGGAGTTTTTACCTAGGACTGGGAAGGACCCCTGTATGAAATCCTGGAGAGCTGCTATCAGTCAGTATAGATTCTGACTGATAGCAGCTATCAATTAGATAGACTTCATTTAAGATATTTTTGTGTTTTCTCTGTATAGTTTGTCACAGGCAACTCAGGTCTTAGATTGAGAAACAGAAATTGTAGCTTGTACAGGAGCTTCCTGAAAGCAAGCAGCTTCTGAATTAAAATTACAATGCGCTGATTAGATTGAAATTTTGTTTGTAAAATCATTTGATAACTGCTTCTTTAAGGCACAGGGTTTCTTTTTTATTCACATCAGAATTTAAATTCTACATTAAATTCTGGCAACACTCCCACAGTCTTCAGTGAAAGCTTCCCACCCACTGTTACTTCAAGCAGATTTTATAGCCTTGTGTGCAGCCTTGTTGTCTTGGAAGGCACAGTGAAGTAACAGCAGGGACTTCATACTGAAAGATTTGCCCTGCCTGCTGTGGGTTTTAAGCAAGCGTAGGCAGTTGTTGATTGGAAGGCAGCTTTGAAAGCTATATTTATCAAATAGGAACTGGGATGCACTACTGCCCTGTTGATGTGATTGGCGGGGCAGGCGTTATAAATATAGGGGTATTGCCAGTGATGTATTTTGTTGTTCCAGTTGAAGGATTCCATTGATACAATGAGTAATATGGGGACAGTGAATTTTGTCATCTGCTAGTTTCTGTTAGTCAAATAATGTAGGTTTTATTCTGAATTAATGTAGTTGAAGGGGCTATTGTAAGTAGCTCTGCTCTTCACAAGATGTAACATTAGAACAAACAGTTTTGTTCTGAATTAGCAATGTAGGTGAAAGACTTGCACTTTTCACATAGTGCTGCACTTCTTTACAGTATCTTCACTGTTACAGCAAGCATTTGAAGTACAATAAAACTAATTTTAAGTTGCTTGTAGTTCTTAGCTCACATTTGTACAGCCAAGATTATTGCCTTTTGATTCAAAGCACTAAGGGTTTGCTAATTTGGGTATATGTAGACTGTTTGCTGTGGCTTGTGATATGAGTGTTAGTTTCTGGAGTTGAGCAGTAAAGGAAGAATAACAAAAACATACAAAATTGAGGCTGTTGTATTTATCATCATGAGAAGATGGTGGTAAATCCCTAGAAAAAACAGATTCCCTAGAAAAAACAATAACGGTAGGAAGATTCCCTAGAAAAAACAATAATGGTAGGAAAAGTCGAAAGCAGCAGGAAAAAAGAGTAAGACCTAATATGAGTGGACTAACTCATTAAAGGAAGCCATGAGCCTGAGTTTGCAAGACCTGAGCAAGGCTGTTAATAATAGGAATTTTTGGAGGTCATTCATTCCGAGGTACAGTGTAACGTGGAAGCAACTATGAAAGCATGAGATTGATTGATTGATAGATTTTTATACCACCTGATAACAATAATAGCAACATGTAGGTTCTCTTTGAAATTATGGCAATTCAAATGTTTTGGCTCTGACATCATTAGTATTTCTCCATAAAGGACACACAAATAAGTGAAAGTGTTGGCTGTATTAGTAAAGGGTGACATCACTTTTACAGGGAAGCGAGACAGCTGGACTGTAGAAGGTCTGAAGGCATAAACCAGCATGCTGAACTGAAATAGCTCTGGTCTTTTAAACTTCCTGATGGGGAGTGGCTGGGAACCATATGTGAACTGCTCTGAGCTTTTTGAAAAGAGAAGCATAGCAAAAGATAAATATTCAGTGGTGTTGCACACTGATCTTAAGAAACCACCACTTTTCAGAATTGTGGAATAATGTTCACCTTGAAAATTATTAGAAAAATTGTAACAAAAATTGTTGTGAGATGAAAGTCAATCTAAGCTGGCATTCTTTGTCATTAACAGCCAATTAGATTTTTCTCGTTGCTCACAAGCAAGCCATGATTATGATTGTCATCCTGTGTTTAGCTATCTATTTAGTTACCAAATAGCTGTTCAGTAGAAATCAGACGATGACTGCTACCAGATTGTGTGGTTGCAGATTCTGTAGTCTTCTTGTGTGAAGACAACTTCCCCTTTCTTTTCACAGACATTGGTTTTTTTAGATATAATTTGTGTGGTGTCTTCTAAGTGCTGTGCTTAATTATCCTCTGAAGAGCCTTGGCACAGTCACACCTTTGAACATTTGTCTTCAAGAGTACAAGCAAAGTAATGCAGGTTCTTTGGAGAGAGGATGAAAAGTAGAATGTTACAACACAACACTGAGCACAAGGTGGTCAGATGTGACATAAAGTGTGCAAGGAGAACCCTGTCTTGTTTAAATAAATGTGTTTCTGTTCAAACTCTGGAGAACTTCTGAAATGGACCTTAGGATGTACTCATTTTGTCAGTTGTAGCACAATCTGAAAACATGTTTTCTTTTTAGATCTCGAGTACAAAAATTAACATTTCCGAGTTAACATTTCCGGTTGCAGCTGCCTGCTCAGGTTTGGCTGCGGGGGGGGGGGGGGAGGGAGGCGGTGCCAGCC